CACATAGTAAGCACTCAACCAGGGTTAGCTGCTATTATTGTTATTATTAAAAATCCACATTAGTATAATATTGATTCCTTGTTGAATAATATTTCATTCAATAAGCATCACATTTGCAGAACAGATTTTTTTTTCAGGTTTGTAGTTAGATTTTAAAATTCATGTTGTTGCTGTTATTGTGTGCCATGGAGTCGATTCAGACGCATAGTGAGTGACACTGTAAGACGGAATAGAACCACCCCACAGGGTTTCCTAGGCTGTAATCTTTACAGGAGTCAATTGCCAGGTCTTTTCTCCCCTGATGTGGCTGGTGAGTTCAAACCGCCAACCTTTCAGTTAGCAGCTGAGTGCTTAACCAGGGCTCCTTTAAAATTCCTCCTAAAATTCAACTATGAACTCCTCAAGTACATGGCTCTGGGAGCAGAGGGCTCATATGCTTGAGGAGTTCATAGTTGAATACAGAAAACATTCTCTACCTTTCCTCAACTTTCATATGTGGTGCATAGTATATAAAAATTCTTTTTCATCTTCTTAACCTTTTAGGTTGTTGAATTCTGTAGTGCAAAAAACCATAACCGAGAAGCTCCAAGCATACAAAACAAAAAATGCAATTCCAGAAGCATATGGGAGGTGATTAGCAATTCTGAGGATTTTAACAACACCGTGCCTATGGTAGCACCACCCCCTCAACCTGCCTTTTCATTGCTGAAGATCAGTCAAAGAATTGTGTGCTTAGTTCTTGATAAATCTGGAAGCATGGCGGTAAGCTTTAAGGGCCCATTTTTCCTAGATGTAGGGGACTGGAGGGTGATTGGATAGCTAAGAAAATGCTGTACTCTTATCTGCACCTTGGTTGTCCTTAATTGCATGATGGCATAAAGTCCTACCACTTCCTGTGGTCCTGACCTCAAGAGGGGCAACAAAAATATTGTAGTGAACAAAAGATTGCAACAGAGTTAAACAGACCTAATCCAAGAGTCTCTTTTTTTTTTTTTTTTCCAGAAAATGGAGGATTTACTGAGGAGGGCATTGAGGCCCCTTTAGTAAAGCTTTAGACAAAGGATCAGATCAGAACTAGAGACTGAAATATGTAAATGGTTTCTAACCATTCCCCTTTATCTATTGGGAAAGCCTGAGAGACATGAGAATAGAGTAGAAAGGAAGCTGCTGAACTCCATAATCCAGGTCAAGGAACAGGATTAACCAGGATAATTTTTAACATGGCTTTACCTTATGTGCACCACCTATACAAATGACCTCTTTATGATCAAAACACAGAAATAAATGCATCATAATAAAGAAGATATGACCCAATCCAGCCATTCATTACTTCTACTAGCATTCAGTGAGTGTCTACTCTGCGACAGGCATTGTGCTAAACTCTGGGAGTAGAGGGCCATATACTTGAGAAGTTCATAGCTGAATAAACAAAACATTCTATACCTTTCTGCAACTTTTTATAAGTGGTACACACACCTGCTTCCTTCAGGAAGATCTGGGCTGGGCTTCTAGCTGAGCTAAGGATCTTTCCGTTCATCTCTCACGAAGCCCAGTGCACAGCGTTATTGCTGTATATCATATGGAAATTACACATTTTGTCCCAACATAGTAGGATCTCCTCCTTGCCTTGGAACCATGTCTTACTCGTCTTTGAATCCCTAGTGCCTAGAGCAGGGCTTGTCACACGTAGGCGCTCAATAAATAATTGTTGAACTCAGTAAACTACAAACAAGCAGATACAACGTGGAAAGGCACTCCAAATGACGGCAATTTGAGAGAAACTAGAGTGCTAAAGACGAGCAAAACGTCTTCAGCTAGTGGTGATTACTGAAAAGGGAAGAGGATGGTTCAGCTGAATGCAATAAGCATCAATAAAACAAGGTTTCCAGAAATGGCAGCAAAGTGCTGGACATCAGCACAGAGAAGTATCTATAAAGTGTGACTGGGGAGAGATGAGTTTCCTGATTGGGTTAAGATGAGTAGCCTCTCATGGGCAAGCTGCATGTAGAAGCTTAAAGGTAAAGCACAAAGGTGGAGAGAGTCCTTGTTGATGGTAATGTAGAAGTTTCTCATTGTGATTTGGTTCCGGGGAGTTCAGAGGGAAATTTGGGCAGGGAAGAGAATGGCGAAAGTGGGGTTGGTGGAGTAGCACAGATAGATCAGTGTGGTGATGAGGAAGAGGACAAATGTGTAAAGAGGCTTATGTCCTGCCAGTGACCAGGTAAAGAGGGATGTGAGCCCTGATGTGTTACCAAAGAGTCGATTTCAATCAATCCATTGGTGGAGAAGTGGTAAGGGGAGGCAGGGAGAGAGGAAAGAGGAGAGGTCGGACTGTGCCTTTCAGGGCTCATTTGCAGCGTGGGTAAGTTTCACCTTTTGAGTATTTCTACTCTCCAGTGGGGAGTCCTTGGGTGGCACAAATGGTTAAGTACTGGACTACTAAACGAGAGGTTTGTAGTCCAAACCTACCTAGAGGCACCTCAGAAGTAAGCCCTGGTGATCTGCTTCCAAAAGGTCACAACCTTGAAAATCCTAAGGAGTGCAGCCAAGATTCTGCTTTAGTTGAAAGCCTCTGCTCCTTACTATACTATCCTATGTCCCACAACACATACAACTATATTTTTCAATTTTATCAATTGAAAAAAATTGATAATGGCTTTCTTTCATAGCACCAGCTACTGTTCATAGAAAATTCTTACCAACAAATTCTGTGTGTTCATTTTATGTAACCTACTATTACCTTCCAGTGGAAAATCACATGATTATTTTTCTTCTCTTCTATTCAGAGTGGTAATCGCCTGAATCGAATGAATCAAGCAGCGAAATATTTCCTGCTGCAGATCGTTGAAAACGGATCCTGGGTTGGAATGGTTCATTTTGATAGCTCTGCCTACGACAAAAGTCAGCTTATCCAAATAATAAGCAGCAATGAAAGAAACAAGCTCTCAGAGACCTTACCTACAACAGCTTCGGGAGGAACTTCCATCTGCTCTGGAATCAAATCAGCATTTCAGGTGAAAATCATTCTGCACAGATAGATTGCCCTGTTTTTTTGTTTGTTTTTCAGGACATTCTTATTTTAAGTGTTGCTGCACATACTTACTGCCTAATTTTAACATAATTAGTTTTAAAAAGCACAGTGCTAATAAGCACATAGGAAAAAAGCTCAATTAATTTTTTTTTTAAAGAACAGTGAATCAGGGAATAAACCGAATGACTAAATGACTATAAAACCATACCAATACTAAACCAGTTGCCGTCCAGTCGATCCCAACTCTTGATGAGTCCATGTGTGTCAGAGCATAACTGTGCTCCATAGAGTTTTCTACAGCTGATTTTTCAGAAGTTTGTCACCAGGCCTTTTGGTTAGCAGCCGAGAGCATTAATGTTTGCATCACCCAGGGACTCCAAATGACTATAAAGCCCCACTAAATTATAAGCTCAATGAAGGAAGGGAATTTATCTGTGTTGTTACCATCCAAGGTACATGCTCAATAAATGTTTGTTAAACAAATGAATGTACTTGGGCAGCAAAAGCAACTAACTTTTAGGGCAATGAACAAGTTGTATGGCATTATTACACCCTGAGCCAGTCCTCATTTCAGTTTCTGTTATACTCAATTAGGGCAATCTGATGGTTTACCTGTTAAAGCAGATGCAGCAGAGACTGTTAGTCATATTTAGGTTAAGACATGCTGGTTAGAACATGAGACTTGACATCAGAATCCTGGCTGTGCAGCTTACTAGCTGTGTGATCTTAGGCCAAGTTTCCAGTCTTTTTGTACTCTCACTGCCTTATCGATAATTATCTCTAAAATACAGGAAAATAAGACTGCCTATCTCCTAAGGTATTATGAGGATTAAATGAAATGGTACATTTAATACACTTAGAAAAACATTTACTATATTGCATAGTAAATACATCACTCACATGACCTGTCATTACGAATGTTATTTTTAACCAAATGGTCATCTTGAGCTTACAATTAATATCAATTGTGTCCTTTTACTGCTTACAAATCTTCATTGCCTCCTCACAGTCTATAAAATCAAGTTTGAATTCCTTGGCAGCCTGATGTTATTCAAAAGCCTCCCACTCCCCAAATAAAACTGCCTTCACCCATCTTTCCAGCCTGATTTCTCAGTGCTTGTCTCCTGACGCTCTATGCTCCAACCAAATTACTGTACGCGTTGTTCTCCAAACCCACTATATACTAACCCCTCCAGATCTTTGTCCATGCAGTTCCCAAAATGCCTCCTTCTTTCCCATCTTTGCATGTTAAGATCCTACCAAATCATCAAAATCTTTCTCCTCCATGTCGGCTCTCCTGTTGAATCTCTGTCTTTTGTGAATTGCATGGCAATTTAGTGCAGGTTTCTAACATGAAGGCCTGGCTTCAAATCTTAATTGTCAGTTAATAGCTCTGTGACCATAAGCATGATTCAAAGCCTCTCTGGTCCATCTCTAGTCCACAGTTGCCTCATCAGTAAAATGGGGTAATAAAAGCTAGCACATAGAATCGTTCATATTTTCATTTATTCAACATTTATTTATTGGCTGCCTGTTATGTGGCAAGCAAAGTACCATGCAAGACACTGGGAAACAATAAGTTCTCTGCTCTGATGAAAAATACTATTTCAGTTAGGGACAGAAAAACCAATACGAGCAATAATTACAGATAGTGAAGGAGGGGTTGTAAAGCGACCAAATAGGGTGACGTGATAGAGATTAATTGGAAAAGGAGAGGAACTGCCTACCTTAGGTAGAGTGGGCAATCAGGTCCTCTCTGAAGAGGTACCATTTTATCTAAGATTTATGTCTTATCTTAAGCTTAAAGGAAGGGAAGGGGCCAGTGGTTCAGACAGAAGGACTAGCACAAAGTCCCTTAGGAAAGAGGGGGAAAAGAACTGGATTATTCTCAGAAATGATAGAAGCTAGTGGTGCTGGAGATTGGTGAATGAGGGGGTATGAAAAGTGGTTGGAGAGGTAGACAAGGACTAGAAATTTCAAAGCTTCAAAAATTAAGGTAAGAGGTTTGGATTTTATTTGAAACACAACAGAAAGCTATTGAAGGGTTTTAAGCATTAGAGAGGAGTGATCAATTTATGTTTTAGGAAAATGGCTCTGGTTGGCCCATATTAAACAGATTATAGGGATCAAGAGTGGTAGTAGGGAGACAGGTGGGGAGGTAGGATTTAGAGTAAACAACATAACACATAAAACACATGTAACACATAGCAAAAGTTCTATAAATGGTTGCACAATAATGTTTTGTTATTTCTCCTGGACTATAGAATATTCTGCCTTATATTTTATGTGTCTTTCTTTCTTATCTCTGTATCTCCTAAGTCTCTGATGCAATGCTCAATAAATATTTTTTAACTGAATTCAATTCTTTCAACATGCTAATAACAACAAAGGAATAAAATGCCTAATAAGGAATAGAATCATTGATATATAGCACTGGAACAGACTTTAGATTTAATCTAGATCAATCCTCCTCTTTACACATGAAGAATTCGGAGCTCAGAGAAAATTAATGTCTTCTTAGTTACAAATCTACTCAGAGAGTGAAACTAACAATAAAGTTTCCTAGATACTTAATTGAACCGTTCTGTGAAATGCTAGAGGAAGGGATCCGTAATGCCTGCTTCCCTGTAAGCTCCATGAATGCAGAAGCCATGTAGTTTCTGCTGAAATCTCAGCATCCAGCACATTGACTGACACGTTGTAGAAAGTGCGTAGTAAATAAACTAATGCAAGAAAGGGAGCGGTAAAGGAGAGAGAACTCTGCATCATCACTGGATCTTCATTTTGCACTCAAAAGAGTAATCGTTATGGGATGGGGACATTGTAACTATGGGAAAATCTGTGATGCTTTTAAGTTTCTAAGTAATTATAAAGGCATTTTCCTGTTTCGCAGTTTGGATTTAATGCATGTCAGAGAATATTTCTCATATGCTAGAATATATGTAATAGTCATTCCTTGCCTCCAAACATGCAAAAATAGTAATGAGGGGGATCACCTTATTCTCTGATATAAGCTTTATTAGCGGTTTCTACATCCCAAATCCTCTTCTGCAAACGTACACATACCTCCACTCTTTCCTTCTATGCCCATGACAGCCACTGCTAATACAGCATGGCATTTTTTCTTCTTGGCCTGGACTCAGTTTCTCAAAATAGCGTTCAAAGAAGCCACTACCAATTAAAGCTGTCAGAGAAGATGAAATAGCGTTGCTCTCCTGGGCTAAGTTCTCTTTCTCCTATCTTGCATGTACCTAATATTCAGAACTCTGAGTTTTCAAACTATTTTGTTTTGTAGTTTGATGTAGGAAAAGAGTTCAAGTAACAAAGAGAACTCAGTACATATAATTCATGTATACTTTGAGCGCCACGTATATGCTTAGTTCTATGCTATTACTTTTGGAGGTAAAATAAAAATTTCTATCAAAGTCTCTAACCTCAAGATGCATAGAGCTTTCTGTATCTTTATAATTACACTGAGGGCTTCCTAATTATTATATTATTTACATTTTTCTTTATGAAAGGTTATGCATTGACTTTTTATATTGAAGGGGATTTTTTATGCATCTAACTGTATATTGACTGACCATACACTGAAGGCTTGGCAGAGGGTAGTCGGGTTAAAGAAAGAGGAATATTTAATGCCAAGTTCCCCCATTATATTTGGTGTATGAATGTCCTGAATTCCTCAGCTTTCTCTAACTGTATTTTTGGGGTCTGGTTGTCCTGAGTTCCTCAAGCTGAGATATCACTCTCATTTAACCCAGGAAAGACTTTCCACAGCCATGCTCCCACATAGCTTTATTTTAAACATTTCCTGTAGCAGGTAGATGTGAAAAAAAGTCATGGCTAAGTTCCCCCAGACATTGTGGGTTACAGATTCTATGATTTTAAAACAGAGGCTATTGCTTCTATTCTGCACACTTATTTATTTTCTCTGGAATTTTTTCTTATTCCCCACCAGTCCATTTGATCTAGGTACACCTAGTAATTAATGCCTAAATTATGTTTGCAGATGATTAAACATAGTTTCCACCAAACAGATGGATCTGAAATAGTGCTGTTGACCGATGGGGAGGACAACACTGTAAGCAGTTGTATGGAGGACGTGAAACAAAGTGGGGCCATCATTCATTTGATTGCTTTGGGACCATCTGCTGATCAAGCAGTAATAGAGATGACCAACATAACAGGTAAAATGTGACCTATAGATTCTAGTCCTTTGATAGCAATGCATAAATGAAGAGTCTGAGAACTCAACAACTTCTCTCAAGTTCCTGCTCTGGCAGACACTGTGCCAAGAGTTGGGGACCAGAGTTAAGCCAGACACAGTCACTGTTGTCAAGGTGCTCACAGTCCAGCTGGCCTGAGGGACAAATAAAACTGCTAATCAGATAGCATAGTCATATAATATTCCCTCATAACAAGAGGAACACCTAGGAATAAAGTTCTATGTGAGTGAAAGAAGCCATTAATTCTTCCAGGACTGGCTGGAGTCAGGGAAAGAAGGCATCAAGGAAGGTGACTTCTGAGCTGAGCCTTGAAAAAGGTATTGAATTTCTCTGGGAGAAAAAAGAGGTAGGAGGAGATTAGGCCATAAGAAAAATCGTATCAGGAGGATAAAGCAAAGCACACATAGGGAATGGTGGGAAATCCAGTGAGACCAGAGCACGGGCTGTGGTGTGTGGGACAGGATTAACAGAAGCTCAGGCTGAACAGATCTAAATAACAAAGTTTCTAGATTAAGCATTAACTATAGTAGCTGTAAGGAGCCCTGGTTGCCCAGTGGTTAAGTGCTCAGCTACTAACCAGGAGATCAATGGTTCAAACCCATCAGCCACTCTGCAAGAGAAAGATTTGGTAGTCTGCTTCTGTAAAGGTTACAGCCTTGGAAGCAATATGGGGCAGTTCTACTCTGTTCTATCGGGTCGCTGTGAGTCGAGATCGACTCTATGGCAATAGATTTGGTTTGGGGTTTTACGGTAGCTGTTGTCTTTGATACACAGACATGTGATAGAAATGGATTATATGTTTCCAAGGTGGCCTTGAACACAGTAGAAAACATCCTTATGAGTATCAATTATTGTATTGAGTTGGCTTCTAATGTTGCTGAATATATATTTGCTCTTTAAATGCTTTAGTTCTATAAATTTCCACTGTTTTCAAAATGCTTTCATGGCTACTATAAGGTTTATTTCTGTCCCAAACAAACTCCCATACATAGTACTCTTTTGGACTTGTCTCTGTTGCTTACAGTTTTTCTATCTCCTCATTGCCAGTCATTGTTAGGATACCTCAGTATAGCAGCTCTTTATCCTTTCTAATTTTCTGACTCTGATCTACTATGGCTGGAAAAACTGAAAGCCAATATTGTTAGAACAATATCTTAAATAAGGTCCCTGGGTAGCACAAACTGTTTGCTTTCAGCTACAAACCGTAAGGTTGGTGGTTCAAACCCACCCAGCAAACCATGGAAGAAAGGCCTGGAAATCTGCTTCCATAAAGCCAAGAAAACCCTATGGAGCAGTTTCACTCTGCAGCACATGGGGTCACCATGAGTCTAACGGCAATGAGTTTTTTTTCTCAGTTTGGTATCTTATATAAAAGTGAAGAATTCCCCTAAAGGGCTGTGAGCTTTACCACATTGAACTGAAACATCTGTTTTAGTATTCCATGGTTATCTGATATATTTCCGCTAGCTATGGTTTCCAGATAAGTCAGGTATTAAGATAGTCTACACTTTATAATTATGACATTTGTAAACTAACCTCTGGGAGTTAATCTTTACACCTGATTTCAGCCTATTTTAATAATACTAAGACTATGATTTTGTTCATATTTTATTGCTTTATTACATTTTGTTATGTTATTAATAACTAAAATCTGATGAGTACTTATTTCTAGAAACTAATTTTGCTAATGTATTTACATTTTAGGAGGACTTCATCAACTTTCTTCAGATCAAGCCGAGAATAATGGTCTCATTGATGCTTTCGGGGCCCTTGCATCAGGAAACACTGATATCTCCCAGCAGGATCTCCAGGTCAGATTTCCATCTTTGGGTTTTCATGTTTGCACTTAGCTATAATCAAGTAAGAGAAGGTGGTAGTTATATATTTGGAGCTCAACATTTTTCTCCTAGTACAGTTTTAATTCAAACATAAACTTCAGCCTGAAATATACATTATTTAAATACAACCCAATTATACGGCGAAATGAGAGTTTACATGTATGATTTTGGTATTAAATGACTTCAAAGTAGAACACAAGTTATACAAAAAAGTATGTGCAATAATTCTTCTAAACTCATTCCTTTTGTCATCTGCTATGCTTCAATGGCACTATCATTTTCAGTTACTTAAATTCAAAATCTTTGAGTAAACTTAGATTCTTCTTCTTTCTTCATGCCCCATGTACAATGTCAGGCAAACTGTTGACTTTTCCTTCAAAACGTGTTTTATAAAAATCTGTTACTCTCCATATCCATTCCCATACATGGATATGGAATCTATTCAAGTCAATTTTTTGCCAAGACTGCTGTCTTCCATATTCAAGTTCATCAAGTCACTTCCAACATTAAAACTTGCTGTAATTACCTAAACAAACCTATTTTGCTCTGCCTCCCAACAATGAGGAGCACAGAGGTATAGTTAGTATTTAAGTTGGAGGTGGGCACAGGATAATATGTGTAGACTGGTCTGGAGATCTGGTCAGCAGAGCTACCCTGCTAACTGGACTGCAAAATAATTTGTACATATGGAGAATAAATTGAATGAGAATAGAGATCAATTTTGAGGTTCTCGACCTGATTAACTGAGAGAATAATACCACTTACTGAATGAAATTGAAAACTAAGTAGAGAGAACTTCTTTTGATGAAATTATTTGGTGCTCTGTTTCAGCCTTGTTAATTTTGAGTAGATGGTAGAAGATTCAAACGGCATTCTCCAAAAGGCATTTAAAAGTATAATAACAGAATATCAAAAATCAGCTAGTAAGGAGACATGTAAAGGAGGTGCTCAAAGTTTTGAGAACAGAGTTCTTAAAAGGTGTGGAAGAATCAGGAGGAAAGTTTTGTTCCCCTTACTTGAAATGTTTATGGTTGGTTCTTAAATGGGGAAATAACAAAAAGAAAGCAAATTTTTTGCAAGATTAATCTGAATTCATGTGCACAATGGCTAGGACTTCAGCAAGTACAGTGGCCAGCAAGAACCTTGTTACAATGATCTAACATGAGTGTCTTAGCCATCTAGTGCTGCTACAACAGAAATACCATAAGTGGATGGCTTTAACAAAGAGAAGTTTATTTCCTCACAGTAAAGTAGGCTGAAAGTCCAAATTCAGGACGTCAGCTCCAGGGGAAGGCTTTCTCTCTCTCTCAGCCTTCTTCTCATCAGTGTTCCCCTGGACTAGGAGCTTCTCTGCGCAGGGACCCCAGGTTCAAAGGACGCACTCTGCTCCTGGCACTGCTTTCTTGGTGGTATGAGGTCCCCCTGTCACTCTGCTCACTTCTTTCTTTTATATCTCAAGAGATTGCCTCAGGACACAATCCAATCTTGTAGATTGAGTCCTGCCTTACTAACACAACTGCCACCCATCCTCCCTCATTAACGTTATAGAGACAGGTTTACAACATAGGAAAATCACACAGTACCAGGAATCATGGCCCAGCCAAAATGATACACACATTTTTGGGGGGACATAATTCAATCCATGACAATGAGTAAATGGAAACATGGACTTGGATGGTGACAGCCGGAATAAAGAAGAAAGGCTGCATCTCATGTAATATTCCCCTAGAACTCCTATGCCACTAAAGCCCTCGAGCTTTCCTATCCTATCCTGATAGGAAGTCTAAAAAAGTCATTTTCATTCAGATTGAACTTGATAATAGTACTCTGTCCTCTCAAAGATATGTGCACTTAACAGAGGACTGGGATTTTTGTCAAAAAAAAAAAAAGAAAATGTTTCAACAGTAGAATTTACTCCCTTCAGGACCAGAGTGAAGGTGTTTTTGGCTTAGAACTAAGTTGCAGCACAAGTGGGCCTTCCCATTGTTCCTGAAATGACACTTCCCTGGGAAGCACATTCTTGTTCAATAGATAAAGTTGGCTTTTCTTGACTAAGAGTTATCCACAAAAACTTTTGAAAGACTCTTCCTTCAAAGTTCCTCTCAAAGGAAAGTTCTAGCTTTCACTTACTTTCTTCACAGGATTCTAAACTTCAGAGAATTCAGTTTGTCCTTCTCTCTTTCTGTTGAACATATTTATTGCCCAGAGGATATTCATCCTTTCATATGTGTAAAATTTCACACCAGGAAAAGATCTATGAACCATTTTCTCAATTATTTGCTAGTCCTCATTTTCTTCTTGAGGTCACCCTCACCCTATCTCTATTCAAATACTCTAAACCCATTGTCATCGAGTCAATTCCAACTCATAGCAACCTATAGGACAGAGTAGAACTAACCTATAGGTTTTCCAAGGCATAATCTTTTCAGAATCCAGAAACAGACTGCCACATCTTTCTCCCACTGATCCTTCAGTTAGCATCCAAGCCCTTAACCACTGCGCCACCAGGGCTCCTTTCAAATACTCTAGTCAACATTTAGTATTTTCCTTTGAGACCTCATGAAGATGGGCAAACTGAGGATGGAACACACACACACACACAC